CGGGAACCAGGCGGCTCCGGGCCTCATCTTCTCCAGAGACGAACTTTGTGGCTTGAACTCCTCTGCCGTGCTTGCGAAAGCCAGGCGGCTCCGGGCCCCATCCCCCTCCAGAGACGAACTTTTCAGCTTGAACTTGTCGGCTTCTACACGCTTGTGAGCCATTTACCTAAGATAAATCTCTCTCTCTCTCTCTCTTTTTCTCTCTATAAATATATATATATACTTTGCTGGTTTTTGGTGTTTCTCTAGAGAACCCAATCCAACACAGCGTTTTTCTCAAGTATTGAACTAATAGTGTGTTTTTCACAATGTGTGTGTGTGTGTGTGTGTGTGCGCGCGCACGCATATGATGTAAGCAAGGGACAGAGTGGGCAAAGCCAGTCTTCGTTGTCAACTGCGTGGTAAGGATCAGTATGAATCCAATCCTTAAAATATGGAGATTGACTCAGTCCTTACATTCATCTTCACTCCTTCATCTAAGTTGCCAGGCACCCACGTGGCACTCTGTCTTTGGTCCCAGCCACCTGGAGCTGGGTCAGAGTTCACGAGTTAAATGTTAACTGTCTTTTAGACTAGGAAGTAAGCAGATACCAGCTGCAGTGTTGGGGATTCCACATGACACCCCAACCTTCTGCCCTGCTAGCAATAGATTCAGAGCTGATTTCCCACTACCCCTTTAGAAAGCTAGCTAAAAGGGAGCCCACACAACACCCTTATTTTGTGACTTGCTGGCTCCTACCTCCCCTTTGGGTTCAGTCATTTGCTGAAACAACTCATAGAATCTCACAGAGCAGCCCATACTTGCAACTGCAGATTTATTACAACCAAAAAGGATACAAACTAAGAGACACATAGGAGGAGGTCTAGGATGGAGCTTCTGTGTTCCCAGGGGATGCGCTATCCTCTTGAGAACAGATATTCTTGCCAACCAGGAAGCCATTCTGACCCCTCAGTTTCGGGCTCTTACCAGCCTTCCTCCATGGCCATGATAGATTGTATCATACTTCCTTAGTCAACATTGGGCTACTGGGTGATATCTCCTGGTTTGGTCAGCCCTCACTCAGTAGCCTCAGGTGTGGTTCAGCTGGAAGGAACTGAGAACAAAAAAGCCAAATTGCCTTCTGGACCTCATAGTCCTTTAAGTAATCCAGAAAAGGAAACTGGGCAAGAGCAGCACAGTTTTCTACAGCTTAAAGTCTCTTGTGGGTTTTGCTTTCATAGATATGCTATAATTTAAGAAACCAATTACAAATAAAAACCTAGGGTCATTAAACAACAAAGCACTAGATAAATTGGTGATAGGTGGTAGTGATAGTCAAGTTCATACTTGACACTTCAAAATAAAGATTTCTGTTTGACTTAAACATACCATGGAACTCACAAATGGACCTCACACACATTTCATGAGTGCTTTGCATAAATTAAGCTACACCCACACAGGCAAATGGGAGCTCTGGTGGCGTAGTGCCTAAGATATTTACTGCTAACTAGAAGGCTGACGGTTCAAATCCACCAGCCACTCCTCGGAAGGAAGACTGGGCGCAGTCTACTTCCATAGTGATACACAGCTTTGGAAACTATGGGGTAAGTATGAGTCAGAGCTGACTCGATGGCAGTGAAAAAAAAACACAGGCAGATTTCCTTTCTGCTGTTGATAAGACTAACTTCTCAGCTAAGGAAGTGAAAGAACAGAATGGTTCAATTTTAGCAATTTCCATTAAAACAAATAAACCACCGTAATGACGTCAACAATAACCTCAGTCTGGTAGTCATGCCATGTGCATATTGCAACCTTTGTTCTGAAAACTATTTCTTGTTGGATATGTCTTAACAGGCATGTTATGCACGCATACAAACATTTATAAGCACAAATAACACAGGCATGGATATTTACAATAGTCCTCCTTTTACTTCTGGTGGGAGCTGCTTTGTGGAATTGGCAAAGTTTGGTTTAGTAAACAGAATGGAATTTAACCCTTTTCTCTATCCCTGAACCAAGTCCAGTCTGTTTCTTCCCAGGATGGGAAGAATTTCATCCTTAGGAGAATGATATGCATTTGGTGGAGGGATGATTCTGTCAAGTACAAGAATTCTAAAAGGGACTTTCAAAATCTACTTAATTTTTTTCCCCCCATTTAGGCTCCAACCAGGAATGGAGACCCTTAGTTGCCTGTTTAGATAGAAATTCTCAAGACCAATTTTATTCTCATGAATTACATAAGATCTCATACCAGGGCCTTTTTAGGTTAGTATAAAAAGCAAGTTAAATGTGCCAGAATGCAAGGAAATCCTCAAAGACTGATGAAGCCATGTCAGAAGGACTCTGAAGCCTGTTTTAAGGGGCATTACCAAGTTTAGGACATTCAAGCTTCACAAAGAATGATTGTAAGCCTTGAATAAAAATGCTGATACTAAAAACAAAAAAAAAAGGAAAAACTCCTCAGTTGCTACCATTAGAGAATGACTACTATTACACTATATCTATACTCTGAAATTTAGTAAAAGGAAGGAATTTACTCTGCTTTATTCTTTTATTTCTTTAAACTGTAATTCATCCTTAGTTGATGAGAGAAAGCACTAAACAGAAAAATACCAGTCATATTGTGCTAAGTGTTGAGGACAGAAGTGTAGATGGCATAATAGAATTAGAAAATCACTGTTTGTAACTCTCAATGAAATAGTTAATTGAGACACTGATCATCAGGTGGAAGACAGTTGGAGAACTGAATATTTCCAGGGTATTTAAGTTCATCCCCCAATTAGTTTTAATTACCTTTAGAGTAAAAGGGAAAACTACCTTTAGAATGAAGTGATGTGGTGGTCTTCACTTATCCAAGTGGTCAGAGTTTGATAAACTGATCGTGGGCTAATGGGCATTATGTGCTCATGATTTAATGCAGTATGAAATAACCACCATCACCTATGGACTATTCTTTTATAGTGTTTAACCTGAATTCAGTCTGTTGGATTTTCTGGTTACAGGAAATATAGACAAGAAAGGAACAAGTTAGATGCATTGAACACAATTTGATAACACATTTCAAATGTGGAATATTCTATAACACAATTGACTTAATCTCTTCAAAATCATTGTGTTGCTGGTGGGTGGGTGGAAAAGGGTGATGGGAAGGTCTGTTCTAGTTAACAGAGATTGGAAATAAATACTGAGCATGAAACTTGGTTAGCTCTTGGTTAAGAACTTGCTTAAAAGCCATAAAAGACATTTGGGAAAATTTGCATATGGACTGCAAATGACATGTTTTTGTTTTGGTTATGTGCTGTCCAGTCAGACCTAACTCACAGTGACCCCTCCGTGGGTTTCCAAGGTGGTATCCCTGTGGAAGTAGATTGTCCAACCTTCCTTCCGAGGAGTAGCTGCTGGGTTTGAACCGGCAGCCTTCTGGTTAGCAGTCAAGTGCCTTAGGCACTATGTTACCAGAGGTCCTGCAAATTCCATAGGTAATAAGAAATGACTGTAAATTTTCTTACATAAGCCAAGGTGGTGTGCTATATAAGAGAATATCCTTATATTTAGTATCTTGCTACCTAAAGGTGGTAGATGGGTGTGTGGCATTGCCATTACCTGGGAGCTTGTTATAAAAGCAGAATCTCAGGTATCACATCTGACCTACCAAATCAAAATCTGCATTTTAACAAGATCTGCAGTAAGTCACGGGCACACTGAGTTTAAGAAACATTGTTTTTGGGATATGTACACAGAAGTATTTAGAAATGAAATGTCATGATAGTAGAAAGTTACTTCAGAATGGTTTAGCAGGATGTTTTGGAACCGTGGAAGTCTTTGAAAGGCTCATAATTCCTGAAACTTTGATACTTAACCTTTTTTCATTTATAATAGTAGGAACATATTGGTGTATTATAGTTATACAGGGTATGTTAGGCTGGGTTCTCTAGAGAAACAAATCTAGTAAAGCTTAGAGAGAGACAGATAGACAGAGGCAGAGAGGGAGATAAAGAAGGAAATTTATCTTAGGAAAATGGCTTACGCAAGTACTAAGTTCCTGCATCAAATGTCAAACTGAAGCCTTTTCCGACTCACACAGCTGCAGGGGCTGAAGAGCTCAAGACTGGTGGGTAGATACACTGGCTGCTGACTATGGCAGATGACAAATCCGAGATGACCAGGCGGAATAGTGGACTGTTTGCTCACGGACAGTTGTAGGCAGCATAACAGGATCCAGATCCACAGAAGGTTCTCTCTTTTTCCCAGGATGTCCATATATATATATATTGGAAGCAGGCCACACCCCCAGGGAAACTCCTTTCGATGGATTGGCTGCTCAAAACATACACATCTGATCTCATCATGGGAATAAACACATCACAACTGCTTAAACCACTCAGAATTGTGGTCCAGCCAAGTTGACACACAACCCAACTATAACACAGGGCATCTGTTTCTTCTGTTGTATGTATTACAAATCTGAAAAAACAACCTTTTAATGAGAAGTTAAGGACTACTGTGTAACACAATTATATATAATATTTTCTTATTTCAGAGCCTGTTAGAAAAAATTAGTGGTTATTCAATCCTTGTCTATGCCAGTTCCATAGCTAGTAGTAATGGGTAACATTTATTGAACAGCTAACTTAACTGTGTGCCAGGTACTGTGCTAAGTGTTGAGGAAAGAACAGTGAGTAAGGTAAAACATGGCTCCTGTCCTTATGTTGCTTACAATTCAGCAGATAACAAAAAAAAGTGCTTTGTTCTAACTAGTGTTTGCATATTACAACTACCATATTAATAATAACTAATATTTAAGACTGTGCAAAACTTTAGAAACGTTTTGTGTAATAACTTGTCATTATTAGAGCACACAACTGTGGGATGGTCCTTTGACAAAACTTAATGGGTTGGTGTGTATTTTAAACAAGAATTATAATTTAGTATAATATAGGATTAAAATATAATAGCTTTTTCTTTAAAAAAAAAAAAAAAAAAAAACTGAATACTAATCATGCATTATTTTTGGCTTCAGGTAGTTACCCTAACAGCTATTGATAAGACAAGTATTTACTTCTCCTCTCTCCGGGTACAAGGTGTAATTTATAATGTCATTGTTTGGGACCCACTTCTAAATACATCTGCTGCTTATGTTCCTGTTCACACGTATGCTTGCAGCTTTAAGGCAATGGAGGATAATTGTGCTTCTCTAGGTAAGTATATGGATTTGAACTTTGAAAAAAATGATCTTTTGCTTTGTAGCTCTATATCAACTAATAAACTCAAAACTCATTGTTGTCGCCAGTGTTTTTACAAGTGTGTTGCTATGTTCTGTAAGAATTCCCAGGTGTATAGTAGAGCTGACAAGGGACAAAGTTGTAGTCCCTTCTTGGCCACAGCCAGCTACCCAGAAGGAGTGAGTAGTTGGACCTGTGGGCTCAGGACCGTAGTCACAGGGGACATCAAGCTCAATTGGCAATAACATACTACACAAAACATTGTTCCACCTCCTACTTGGGCGAGTAGCAACTGGGATCTTAAAAGCTTGCAAGCAGCCATCAAGATGCAACGATGGGTCTCTCCTCGTCCAGAGCAAAGAAGAACGAAGAAAACCAAAGATTCATGGAAACAATTAGTCCAAGCGATTGGTACACAATGCCATCCTCAGCCTATATGACTATGAGACCAGAAGAACTATGTGGTGCCTACCTAGTTCTGTCAACCATTTGGAGGGGGATCTATGTAGGAGATCCTGCATAGAGTGGGAGAACAATGTGGAACAAAACTCAAAATCATTTTGGGGGGGAGAAGGGACCAGGTTTGCTGGTCTGATAGAGCCTGATAGAACCCCTGAGATTATGGCCCCTAGCTGCCCTTCAGGTCTGGAATTGAACCCCCCCCCCCCCACCTGTGGCTTCTGGCCAAACAAAAGTCAGGCATATGAGGTGAACATTTACACTAGGCAGATACACTCCTTGGAGAGAACAATCATGGGAGAATAGAAGGGTTGTGTATGTACAGGGACATGGCTCGGGGGCAGGAGTGCATGGAGGGAAGGACACAGGGAAGAGGTAACTATGGAGAGGAAGTGGGAGGAGAGCTGTTGCATTGTGGTAACCTGTAGTCAATGTTATGAGACAAAGTATACGTGAACTGCTGTATGGAAAGTGATTTTACTGTGTAAACTTTCACCCAAGTCACATTAAAAAAAATAAAATTAAAAACTCATTGCATCGAGTTGATTCTGACTCATAGTGACCCCCTTTGGGTTTCCAAGTTATGGAACTAGATTGAGTTGTAGAATGATAATCCACCACAGGTCTGAAATAAGTAATGTATGGAGTTTCAATCTTTTGTTCCATCTTCTTTCTTTTGGGCTCTTAATTCTCAGAAGAGTGATATATAGGTGCCCTACAAATTCTGGTCTTCTGTGTTACTTAAATCTGTGTCTTCATGGTATCTCCATGTGAACTCTCTTAAGCATTTTGACTTATTTTTATTTGAAACAGGTTAACATTTTTCATGTGAGATTGTATTAAGTATTTTTCTTTTTAGGAATTATCTTGTGCTGTCCCTAAGGAGTTACGGGTGTGGCATATTAGTGAGCAGGTTCTCCTCTTAAATAAGCTTTGTTTTTTGAACAGTGATATTATTTATGAGGAGCTCTGGTTCTGCAGTGATTAAGTGCTAGGCTGCCAACTGAACAGTTGGTGATTCAAATCCGCCACCTGCTCTATGGCAGAAAGATGTGGCAGTCTGCTTCTGTAAATATTACAGCCTTGGAAACCCTGTAGTGCAGTTCTGCTCTGTTCTGTAGGCCTGCTCTGAGTTGGAATTAACTCAACAGCAGTGGGTTTGGTTTTGTTTTTGGTTAATGTTATTTATATTTTAAGTTGGTCCCTATTAATGGTCATGGAATTAGGGATTTGTTGACATCATGAATCATGTTATTGTTGTGCTTTATTATTAGTTATAACATGCTTTTCCCGAAAACAATACATATAATTGGTAAGACTGGAATTGATAAAGTTGTAATATATAAATAATTTGTACATGTGTGATTTAGGGTGTAATACATTTTATGTTATTTCAATACATGCTTGAGTTTAAACCTTTTATTATGGAGAACTTCAGTAAACTCGCGTATACCCATCACCCAGCCTTAGCATTTTTGACTCATGGCCATTATCTTGCTTCAGCTATACTCCCACCTTCTTCTCTGACTTCTCATCCTCCTCTATTACTGCATCATTTGACTCACAAATCCTCACCAATATTTTGGTATATGTATCTTAAAGATAAAGCTCTGTTCCCCCCCAACATAACCACAGTACCATTAACACATTTATTAAATATTAAAAATAATTCCATAATAGCATCAAATTTCCAAGTAGCAGAAATCATCTATGATCTCAATTGTTTTAAACAGTATTTGGTTTAAATCAGGTTTCACATAAGGGCTGTACATTGGATTTAGGTGGTATGTCTCATAAATCTCTTTTAATACATAGTCTTCCTATCCCACCGCCCCTTGAATTTTTCTGGCAGTTTCTGAAGTAACAGAATTACTTGTCGTAGGCAGCTTCTCTTTCTGCCTGCCTCCTTCCTTCCTCTTTTCCTCCTCCTTTCTGCAAGAATTTATTATAGGTAGTGTTTTTTTCTGTGTGTCAGGAAGCATATATTGTTGGGTTTCTCTTTTGTTATAGCAGCAGCCATTGATATTTATTGCTTAGATACAATGAATACACATTCATTAGTAAAACCAAAAAACCAGACTCACTGCTGTCAAGTTGGATCCGACTCAAGTGACTCCTCCTTGGGGTTTCCAAAGCGGTATCACTACAGAAGTAGTTAACCCAGTCTTCCTTACGAGGAGTGGCTGATGGGTTTGAACCGCCAGCCTTCTGGTTAGCAGTTGGGTACTTTAGGCACTGCAATAGTAGTGGCAAGGATATTTTAAAAGTAGTTTTATTACATATATGTATGGAATAAATCATTGTCAGCTTTTTTTTTTTTTTAAATGAAGCTTTTACCTCTTAAATACAGTGTATCGAATTATATATGTTATTTACTAAATTTTCATTTTTTTAGGAAGAGTATCTACCAAAGTATTCTTCACTCTTTTTGCCCTGCTTGGTCTCTTCATTTGTTTCTTTGGACACAGATTCTGGAAAACAGGTATTACATCTGATGTAGTTGCTGTTTATGTCTTGTGGCCTCTATTTTTTTTTTTTTGTTAAACACTTCTGGGAGATTTATGACCTGTAAGAAGAGGAAGCAATTACTTATCTTTGTATCTTCATAGGTTTGTGGCTGAGTTTTTCTTGTAAAGATTTTGCTGAGTTGCTCTGCATTTTTATTTTTTATGCCTTCTCTCAACAATGGAATGCAACCTCTTCTTCTTAAGAGGGGAATAAAATTCAGTTTGTGCAGCAGACTTCTTCAATTGCTAGCAGATGAAAGATAGCCTAGATTAGAAATCAGGATGGCTCTGTAGAAGTAAGTATTGATTTGGTGATTGACTTGGTTTCGTATACAACAGGCCCCAGAGCTGCAGTATACAATGAGATTGAAATGGCTGGTTCAGACACCAAACTGGAATTCCAAAGTCCACATCATTGAGCAGCACAGTGCAATATAAATTATGCTCCTTGAATTGGGCTGAATTCTTTGGGTTGCTTTTTATGTAATTGATGTTTCCAGTTACTAAAAACGAAACAAAATAACTTCATTTAGTCAATAAGCTGTGTAACTGAGCATCAAAGAAAGCATGAATGCAATCCTATTCTAATAAAACTCTTTAAACTTCCTTTAATAAATTATTTGAAGTAGCAACTCCTTTCCCTCCATTAGGAGTCCCTGGGTGGTACAGACAGTTAATGAACTGGGCTGCTAATCAAAAGGTTGGTGGTTCAGGTCTACCCAGAGATGCTTTGGAAGAAAGGCCTGGTGATCTGCTTCCAAAAAGTCAGCCATTAAACACCCTATAGAGTACAGTTGTATTCTGATACACATGGGATCAGCATGCGTTGGCGCTGACTCAACGGCAGCTGTTTTGGTCTTCCCTCCATTACTATACACTTTCTTGATTAACTGGGTAGAAGGTGCTGTGAAGACTATTTAATGACTCAAAGTGTAGCATGATAACAGAATTTAACTACTAAGGTTGCTGACATCTTGCTTTGTAGTATAATGTTGTGTATTTTTTAACTCGCAAAGTTTATTTTTGCCTGTTTAATTTGAAATTCTGCTACATCAGACGTTAGTGACAAAAGTGCTATTCTTGTTTTAAATAGTACACGTAAATGTGGTAAAATGAGCTGTGAAATTAACAATTAACAACTTAATTGAACTTGACCTAGATTTTTTAAAGTATACCATGTAGTTAATATTTAATATCATATCAATTTAATAATAAGATTAATTATTATTACCCTAATGATGTCTAAAATTCTCCTGTCTCTTAGATAATAATTTTTCTGCTCTGAATACCCTGATGTGTAATTTCAGGGAGTCTAAATGTGTATTTGTAGATTAGATATTTAGATTGCATTATAAAAAGAGTACCTAACCATAACTTATTTTTCCATTTTTTTTCCTGATGGCTTGGTACTAGAATTATTCTTCATAGGTTTTATCTTCATGGGATTCTTCTTTTATATACTGATTACAAGACTGACAGCTATTAAGTATGATGGTAAGTGAAAACTGTATAGTTTAGTTGGGTGTTCAAATAGGAAGATGCTGTTCACATACCACCTCTCCTTCTGCAGTTTGAACAGTGTGTGCATCTACAGTTTGAACAGTGTTGTGTGCAGTATCCCATTATGTGTATGAAATAAAGGGCCACCTACCCTCTGAACATCTTTACTAAACTACTCATTCAGGCCTCATCTTCCTTTGTTTTAATCTGCATTATAAATTCCTTGTTGTCGTTATACGCCATGGAGTCGGGTCCGACTCATAGCGACCCCTCCTTGGGTTTCCAAGGCAGTATCATTATGGAAGTAGATTACCCAACCTTCTTTCCGAGGAGTGGCTGGTGAGTTTGAACATCCAGCCTTCTGGTTAGCAGTCAAGTGCCTTAGACACTATGCTACCAGAGCTCCTGATAAATTCCTTAGTGCTTAAGAAATATGAAAAGTCTTTATTGATTGTAAGCCATGTGCTGTATTGATGATATGAAAACGATCAGAATGTTAAGATTTTCTTTACCTTAAAACAAACACCCTCCTTTCTCCTAACACTTTTAACAAAATACAGGTCACCTCTTCTTCCTTAGCTCCAACTTCCAGGTTGTGCCATGCCAGGCTTGTCACCAGTCCTGTGAGGCTTAGCTCCCTGGTTAGTATTGATGTCTCAGACCAGGCCTCTCCCTGAAGAAGGCCTCTCCATGCTGTGTCATGAAACCAATCCAGAGCACTTGCTGCCTGACCATCAGAAAGGCTGGGCTGGCTCTGGCAGTGGTATTGTGTGTCTAAGTATGGGGTGGTGATCAAACTGTTCTTTTTCCTTTGTACAGTTCGTCTGATTCTAACCGCCGTAACTGGAAGCATTGGTGGCATTTTCTTGGTGGCTACATGGTGGCGATTTGGAATCCTCATGCTTTGTATGCTGTGTGTTGGACTAGTGCTGGGGTTCCTCATCTCCTCTGTGATGTTTTTCACCCCACTGGGTAGGAGCTCCATAACTAATTATGTGTTTAATTCATCCCTTGAAAGACTTTAATTTCACTCTCTAGATTGAAATGGAGTTGATGGGTGGAGCAAACAGTTAATGTGCTTGTTGCTAACTGAAGGGTGGTGGTTCAAGCTCACCCAGAATACCTTGGATGAAAGGCCTGATGATCTGCTTCTGAAAGGTCACAGCTTTGAAAACTCTGTGAAGCAGTTCTACTCTGATACAGGGGAGGTATCCATGAGCTGGAACCTGACAGCAACTTAATAGTAACAACAGGGTATTTAGTAACAAGAATGGTTGTGGGAATTTTTTTTAAAGGCATTAAATTTTTTTCTTTTTAAACATAGTTAATTTGTAAGTTAACTTTTTCTTTGCTGTTGTACAATAACTTACATTTTAAAAATGTGAAAAGAGGAATATCTACATTCTGAAGTGCTCTATTAGGCTGATACACACTTAGATTTTATGTTAGAATATTAAAGAGAAGACAGTCTGATGTAGAGTAGTACTGTTGAGATTTTGCTAACTTACAGACTCATGAGAGATTTTTGTTGAAAATAGATTTGGGGCCTGTGATAGTTAAGGTTATATGGCAACTTGGCTGCACCATGATTCTGAGTGGCTTAGGCAGTTGCGTGGCCGTTCCCATGATGAGGTGTAATGTAAGGTAGTAACCACCATGATGGGATATGCTTTGAGCAGCCAGTCAGTTGAAAGGGAGTTTCCTTAGGGGTATGGCCTGCTTCCAGCGTATGTATGGATGTCCTGGGAAAATTAAAAAACTTTCTGTTGGATCTGGATCCTTTTGTGCTGCCTGCTGATCTTGGGTTCATCAGTCCCTGCAGCTCTGTGATTTGGGAAAAGCCTCCAGCTTGATGTTTGACCCAGGAACTTGGGACTTGGCTGCCTCTAGGACTGTGAGCCATTTTCCTGAGATAATTTTTTTTTTTTTTTTCCTCTCTCTCTCTCTCTATATATATACACACACATGTATATGTATATATGTGTATGTATATATACATATAATAGAAGCTTTACTGGTTTTGCTTCTGTAGAGAACTTAGCCTAAGACAGGGCCCTACTCTAAATTTCTAGCGAATCAAAGTACATAGTGAACTCTCCCTTGTTTTTAATGTTTGGAGGATAGAATGTGATAGATAAGAATTTTAAGTGCTTAATGTACTTTTGATTAGTAGAATGAGCATAGGCTATGAAGTCAGAAAAAAAAAAAACCTTTGTTTGCACTTTGGCTCTGTCAGTAGTACTTTTAATAACTTAAAACCTTGCACACATCATGGAAGCTGTTTCATCATCTGTAAAATATAGGTAATAACTATCTCATAGAGTAGGAATGAGGAGTAAATGAGATAGTAGAAAGGCCTCTTAATTTTCCTGTTTACAAAAATAGCCTAGAGCAGTTGTCACTAAACTTTTTAAATGAACTATTTCTATAGGTAAAAATTTTAGCTTGTACCCTTTATCTATATGTTTCCCCATGAGCTATGTCATAGGTCAAATACAGTTGGGGTGAAGGTCTCCTCACTGATAGTGGGTGCAAATCTGTATTTTCAAGGCTTAAAATTTGAAAACTGACTGACTTCTCAGATGTGATTAGATTACTACATTTTTTTAAAATTGTGATTTGGGTGAAAGTTTACAGAGCAAATTCACTTTGCATGCAGCCATTTACATACTTTGTCTCATGACATTGACTACAATTTACCACAATGCAACAGCTCCTCTCCTACTTCCTCCCCATAGTTACCTCTTCCCTGTGTCCTTCTCTCCATGCACTCCTGCCCCCTGAGCTGTCTTCCTGTGCATACACAGCCCTTCTATTCTCCCATAATTGTTCTATTCAAGGAGTGTTTCTACCTAGTGTAAACGTTCACCTCATTGGCCTGTCTTTTCTTTGATGGAAGCCACAGGTGTAGGTTAAATTCCAGACTTGAAGGGCAGCTAGGGGCAATAGTCTCAGTGGTTCCATCAGGCTCTATAGTACCAGCAAACCTGGTCTCTCTTTTTTTTCCAGATGATTTTGAGTTTTGTTCCACATTGTTCTCCACTCTACAGGATCTCTTATATAGATCCCCCTCCAAATGGTTGACAGTGGTAGCCAGTTCTTCTGGTCTCATAGTCATGTAGGCTGAGGATTGCATGGTGTACCAGTCGGTTGGACTAATTGTTTTGATGAATCTTTGGTTTTCTTCGTTCTTCTTTGCTCTGGACGAGGAGAGACCCATTGTTGCATCTAGATGGCTATTTGCAAGTTTTTAAGATCCCAGTTGCTACTCACCAAAGTAAGAGGTGGAACAGTGTTTTGTGTAGTATGTTATGCCAGTTAAGCTTGATGTCTCCTGTGACCATGGTCCTGAGCCCACAGGTCCAACTGCTCGCTCCCTCTGGGTAGCTGGCTGTGGTCAAGAAGTGACCACAACCTTGTCCCTTGTCAGCACTACTATACACCTAGGAATTCTTATAGAACATAGCAATACACTTGTAGAAACATTGTCTGCCAACCCTATACATGGTCTTGGGTACACTCCCCCCTGCATAGACATACCTAATAGTTCAGCCTATCCACCCATCTGTCCACCCATATATCTATGTTTGCCTTCACTGACTATGCAGTACTGTATGTGCAAAGGGTTCATTTTTGTTGTCTATACCTCCCATGGACTTCTCTCTGTCTTCGTCTTCCTCAGTTACCACCATGTTGATCACTCATATTTGGTACATTGCTCTTCTCTTCACTCAAATCAATACTTGTCTCTACCTAACAGTGTTCTCTCCCCTCCCCTCCCACGCCGGGTAACCAGCAAAGAAAATTCCTTCCATATTCAAACCTTTCCTTGACTTTTTACAATAACAGACTAATACAGTATTTGTCCTTCTGTGATTGACTTATTTCACTCAGCATAATGTCCTCTAAGTTCATCCACATTATGTGGTGTTTTGCAGATTCTATGTTATTCTTTAAGGTTGCATAGTATTCCATTGTGTGTATGTACCATAGAGATTAATACTGTTTTTACCTTACAATGTGGATAGCAAAGTGCTTATACTCTAAAAGGGTCAGTTCTTCATACGCTTGCATTATAACTACTATTTTTAGCTCCTAGTTTCCTTGAAACATTTTTTTTGTTACAGGTATTTTATGAAGATTAGTATAATTAAACTAGAGTACATGGCCCACAGGAGCTCTGGTAGCGTAGTGCCTAAGGTACTTGACTGCTAACCAGAAGGCTGGCAGTTCAAACCTACCAGCCACTCCTCGGATGGAAGGTTGGGCAATCTGCTTCTGTAGTGATACCTCTTCGGAAACCCAAGGAGGGGGTCACTATGAGTCAGGCTGACTGGATGGCACGCAACAACAAAAACAACATATGGCTCATGATCCATCTAATGGCAGCACTTTGCAGTTTGCTTTCAGAGAATGAACCATGTGGGCCCCGAGGTCAGATCCTCTGGTGTGACTGTGGATCTCCTACTGGCCCGGGATATGAGACAAGGGCCATTGGATAAACAGACTAAATGTGGCCAGTGTCAGTATTAAACATTAGGCTTGTAGTCTTGCTTTTTAAACTTAATTTGTGAACAGGTATTCTGGTGTGTTCATCCTGGATCACCCTGAGGTGTGCTCTATTTGAAGTTCAGCAGCAGGAGAACGGTTTAGTAGATAAATGGTTAGCTCCTGTCTTTCCTGATGCTTGGGGAAATTGCATTTGCCAGTGTGCAGTAGCTTGGCAGGGAACACTTCAATAGAAAACGTGTATCAGGTGGATGTTGCTTACTATATTGCATGTGAGTTCATAGCTTATTTCTAAATGCCAATTATTTGTATTTTCACTTGGCAGTACAAAATCATGGAAATTAGAGCTAGAAGGGATAATTTAGAGCTTATAGTTGATGCAGTTCAATATTCTTTTTATGGACCAGGAACTGAAGGCCCAGGATCATAAATCTAGAGAATGAAACAACTTGAACTACTCTAATAGGAAAACAAAAGTAATTGCCATGGAGTTGATTCTGACTCATGGTAGCTCCATGTATATCAGAGTACAGCTGCACTCCAGCCACCAAAAAAAGAAAAAAACCAAATGCACTGCCGTCAAGTCCATTCCAACTCATAGCCACCCCATTGGGTTTCCAAGGCAATAAATCTTTTTTTTTTTTTTAAATGCATTTTATTGAAATATAATTTACGTACAGTGAAATACACAAAACTAAAGTGACATGGGTCAATGCATTTTTTTTTTTTTGTAGTGTTCCCTTCCCTTGACTCCCACCTCTGGCAACCAACAATGAAAGTTTCCCTCCATATAGACACCTTTCCATGACCCTCCACAACAACGAAGTAATACTATATTTGTCCTTCTGTGATCGATCTGTTTCACTCAGCATAATGTCCTCCAAGGAGCTGTGGTAGCATAGTGCCTAAGTCACTTGACTGCTAACCAGAAGGCTGGCGGTTCAAACCCACCAGCCAGTCCTCGGAAGGAAGATAGGGCAATCTACTTCTGTAGTGATACTGCGTCGGAAATCCAAGGAGGGGTTGCTATGAGTCGGGTCTGACACGACAGCACAAAACAACAACAACAACATCCTCCAAGTTCATCCACATTGTGTGGTGTTTTGCAGACTCTACATTATTCTTTAGTGCTGCATAGCATTCCATTATGTGTATGTACCATAGTTTGGTCATTCACTCTTCTGCTATAAATCTTAGAGATAAGTCCCTTGCCAGATACGTAATTATCGGCAAAAATGAATTTGTTGCTGTCATTTTTGTTATGTGCTTTTTCGTGGTGTCAATTTCTTTTGTGCCATATAATTTTCTATGCTGAACTCATTTTGTTTGTGAATCACGTTATTACTTCCTTCTTTGCTGTTGTTTTAGTATTTGCTGAATATTTATGCTGGTCCTCTCTTTTTATGTGAAGGTTTATCATTTTTCTTTGAGGTTACCCTGTGATATACAGTTTTCTTCCCAAG